GGACTTCACACCCAGGCCCCGTGAAGGAAGTTCTCCCGGCCCGGGGGCCTTATGAGTTAGAGAGAGAGGCCCTGGGTGGGGTGGGTGGAGTGGGGAGGGGAAGCAAGTGTGGCCAGCAAGAGAGAGGCCGAGGATCTGCAAGGAGGTGATAGCAGTGGGGATTGAAAGGAGGGTCTGCACTGGAGAAGCAGGGTCCCCTTCCTATCCTGGAAGGGGAGGCTGAGCCTGTGGAAGTGCTGAGGTCCCGGTACTCAGGCAGAAAGACTTAGTTACACAAAACCAGAGCGTGTCTGCCTGAGAGGAGGCATCCATGAGCTCCTGCTGCGCTCCCAGGTATGGGCAGGGGAGTGTGTCCTGCCGGCTTTCTGCAATGTTTTGTGATCTGGAAGGAGGAGCCGGCCTGTGGCTTCAGCAGAGCAGGCAGGGGGACAGGGCCTGCTCCGTCCCTGCTGTGGAGGCCCTTTGGGCCAGCTCCACCCTTTCATCACATCCCAGTGGGCAGGAGGATGGAACCCCACAATTGCCAGTGGCCAAGAAGCTACAAGCCCCTGCTCCCCTCTGTGCTGATTCTGAAAACAAAGCAAGAGCTCTTCCTGCAAAGACAAGCCCTCCTGCTGCTCACTCTCTCTTTCAACATTTCCCTGTTGTTGTGAAGAGGTGGGTGGGGGACTTCAGAAGCCTGGAGTGACAGTTCTGCAAAATGAGCTGAGGGCATTGCTCCCACACACAGAGGAAAGAAGGGGGCTGAGGGACAGCCATCCCGTGGTCCACCTTGTGCCATAGAATAAACAAGAGGGTCCTGGCTGGGATGTGGGCACAGGTGAGCCTGACCTTCGGGGCTCCCAGGGAGAGGCTGACTCACACCAGAGACGTGGGACCCACTGCCGTGGTGCCAGGAAAGCCTCAGCATGGGAGGCCGCTGCTCCCAGAGCACCTGCCGGGCCCTGGTGCTCAGCTGTCCCGTTCCTCCAGGTGGAAGTGCCGTGCAGGGGCGGGTGTCGGCCTCCACTCTCCGCTGCCTCTAAGAAGAGGCTGGTCCTCATTGTCACTGGAAGTGTGTGAGGTGAAGGCCTTGTTCTGCCTAACCGAACATTTTCCAGGGACAAATGAAGGCCTGGCTTTGAAGAGGTTGGGCCAGCCTGTGTGTTAGCATCAGGTCTTGACGCTCTAGCGTGAGCCTGTCCTACTCTGAGTGGGACAAGAGGACAGGACAAGCTTATGACGTGTTGAAGAAAAGACACTCAGTTTTCCTGTCTGGGCAAGTGTGGCTTCATTCATCCAGAAGGCCGGGTTCGAATTTAGAATTCTCACGCTCCTGGGAGACTGTGGACCCTGCAGCCGGGGACAAGCCTCCCCTGCTCTCCCGCTCTTCCCACCGCAGCTCCACCCCACACTGTGTGTCCTCCAATGTCAGTGACCAAGGCCTGTCTACCCCACCAGCAGCTGGCCCGTGGCCACCCCAGGGGTCTGGCATGCCCACACCAGGAGGAGGAGAGCGTTCCCGGGGAAAAGGCTCAGGCTGTTTGCGCTTGGGACGTGTGCTCTAATGAGCCCTGGGCACCTGGGACGAGGGCTCCAGGTGGGCACTGCCCAGGCCCCTTGGGAAAGGCCATAGCTGGAGGAGCACCAGAGCGGGGCTCACTACAGCTTGGCACCTGGGGCAGGACTCCTGTTTCCCAGGTCCTCACAGGGATTGAGAGAAGCTGAAAGAACATCGAGACAGGGTTTCTGAGTCCCCTTTGCCGTGGGTCGAGGTCAGCTCTGCCCACTGTCCCCAACCTCACCAGCTGCATTTCAAAGAGAAGATAAGTAGGATGGTGCGTTTTCAGTGTCTTACTCCCCCCACCCCCACCATTTGCATCAACGTGTCATAATGAAAGCTACTCTGGGTACAGCCATTTCCTTGGGTTTGATGTCTTTCCCTGTGACAAAGTCCCATGTCCCTTTCAGAAGTGGCTGCGGGGGAGGGGGCTATTGTACATAAGTGACCTCCCGGCCCTCGCAGCTCGTGGTCAGAAGCAGGACACTCATCTAGAAGTGTGTTCTCCCTGTATCGTGAGGCCGGTCTCATGTTATAGGAGATGCAGAGGCTGAACCTGGGAGAACTAGACTCAGACAGGCGTGAGCCTCTGTGTCCCCTACTGACACGAATGGCACTGGGACGCTGAAGAGCAGTTAACACAGCTGATGTGGGATCAAGACAATGGCTTCAGCCAGAGCCTCTGAGAAGCGGCCTGCGGGCGGGGCCCGGTTCTATGGGCTTCTCTGCGCACCCCTCCCTCTCATCGGGCAGCAGCCCTTGAGTCAGCAGCAGAGGCGGAGCAGACACCGCAAATGCTTTCATTTTGAGTGTTTTTTCCTACTTAAGTCGAGGAGGGAACAGGGAGCGGGAGTGAAATGGTGAACGCGGCAGCTCAGGCCCAGAGGCGTGCAGGCCCGGTGGAGAGGAGCTGCCACCATGCCCATGCCCTTCTCTTTCAGGGTTCAGTGGAGATCAGAGCGGGTGGCTGAGAGGTCAGCTGCTATTGACACCAGAGCAGGTGTCACACTGACACCTAAGGCGAGGGGAGAGCCGAGGCCAGGGTGCGTGCCCTGCCTGGCCTGCAGGTGCCAGGTTGGCTCTTGTTAGTGCAGAGGGGATGAGAGGTGCCCGCTCCATGAAACAGCCAGCTGATGGAGGGAGACGCCACCTCGGAACCCATCCCACAAGGCACTGCAGTCCGTTTCCACAAAACCGGGTTGGACACAACAGGCGTACCACAGAGTCCAGGCCAAGACACGGGCTGTCTTCTGGAGCCGACAGTCTCCCTTGAGACACAGCCAACATCTGCACCTAAATGCTAAAGAATGATTTAGAAAGAAAACCCCAGTGTGTACGAGTCACACCCAGATGTCAACAGGGAGAAATCAGTGTGACAGGGAAAGTTAGAGAAAGCTGCTTAAAAGTGCACAGGCCGGGTGCTGATGCCATACCAGGCACTGCTCACTGGTGAACAGCCTCCTGTCCCTCCTCATGCCAACTTCAGGAGACAGGCTCCAGTCTGCTCATGGGACTGATGAGGAAACTGAGGCTCGGTGAGAGAATGTGACTTGTCCAAGGACATGCAGCTGGTAGTGGCAGATGATGATTTCAACTCCGGTCCATCTGACTAGGCCTGTGCTGTTGACCACTTAGAATCTGAGCAACTAGAAATGTCACAGCAGAGTCCAGGCATGGGTGGGGTCGTCACAGAGAGGGGCGAAGGGAAGGTGAGGATCTAGCAGTCAAGTAGCAAGTGTTTAGATTTCCATGGCCAGTCACAGCACAGACCTTCACCAAATAAGAGAGCCACCTTCTAAAAGATCATCCGAGGAAATAGTAGATTATTCTTTATTCTGGTAATAGTCAGGGTCTAATGTTTTGTCACACCAAATGATGTCACACTAGAAGTCCAAAGCAGGGCTAATGGTAGTGGCTGGGGTCTTTCATGGGCTGGTGTGTTCCCTATGAGTGAGAGCCAACCCATTTGTAGAATTCAGCAGAGCTCAGGCTCTTATCTTGTGCTCCAAGTTTCTGTTGAGCTTCTTTTTATGGGCAAAGTATTGTGCTTTAGTTCTTAACTCTTTAAAAATTTTAATTTTAAACAAATTTAAGATTCTATGTAATTAATATTGGCTTTAGCCAGTTGGTGGCTGGGTGGACATACACATGTAGCGTTGGTGATGCTGAGCCCTCTGTTGATCTTGAGCACATTTTGATTGGACAAGAGGAAAAGTTTAGACTTGGAAGAAATACTCGGCACGAGGAACAGGTGACCGAAGTTAAGACCACGCAGCATAATTTAGTCATAGATGAAAACTGTCTAAAGAACTGTATTTTATAGGTAACAAAAAATGACCTTGACAATGCTTGACTAATGAAAATTCATTGCTGCTGATACAATTATTGGTAAAATACCTGCATCTGTAAACATGACATCCAGACTTCCTTGGGGTCAGAACAGTGAACTCAGAGTGTCCTTCAGTTGTGATGGAGACTGAGTTGGGCTGGTCCCTGGGCTGTCACTGGCTTTGAGTATTTAGGTGGGCAGGCTGTGGGGTTAGGGGAGTGGGCAGCTTTATGGTGGCCAAAGGCGAGGGGCAGGGCTGTGCCCAGCAGACAGCAGAGACAGGTTATAACAGGTAAAGAGTGAACAGCAGCTTTGAGCCTGGAAATAAGAGACTCGTCTGGACGGATGACTAAACTGAAGTCTTAATTCCTGTCGAAAGAAGTGGGTTTAAACCCGAGGGTGGCAGGGACACATGGGAACATTTTCATGTGAAACGATGCAGTCAAATGGCGTGAAGGCAGGCAGTCTGTGGTTTGGTGTTTGTTTAGACCAAAACAAAAAGGGGTGCTCATGTGAGTGAGCCTTTGATGAGAAGGGGCCACTGATGGGCAGGGGGTGTCATTTGTGTAAACTGTGTAGGTTAGTATTGCTAGAGCTTTCACGGCCAATTTAAACGGGTTGTTCAAGTATATTTTTGCAAGCCTTCCTGAGTTTGCCTTCGCCATTCTGTTGGGAAACATGACTTAAATATTTGGGGGGACCGTTTGCTTGAGTCAACACTGGGGGCCCTCATGTTTGTACCAAGAGAAAACTTAAAGCTGCGGGAGCCATGAGGGATGACTGAGACAGAAGGTTTAGCGCTGCCAGGTTAACAAGGCAGGTGCAACTCTAGAGGGAGGTTACAGGAAATGGGATATGCTGTGGCCTTTGGGGGACAGGCTGGGCCATGTGGCGGCTAAACCCAGGACTCCCCGTGGTTTAGAATGGAGCCTGGCTGATCACAATGGCCATGTGCTCTGATGTAACTGTACCAGCGGACACGGTGGAGAAGCCATTGTGTGCTGGCCCCACCCCAGCCTGGACAAGCGGGAGCTCTACCCTGTCACCAGGGAAGAGCCACCGTGTTCTCCGAGGTGCCAGAGGGGCTCAGGCACGAAGGGCGGCCACTCACGCTCTCCCTTTTTCCTGCAGTTACTTTAGAGCAGTTCTCGCTGGCAGTGGGGCGCTGTCCCGACCAAGAGGCCCGGGCTCTGCTAATGAAGGTAGGTTATCACGCGGAGCGCCGGTTTCCTTAACGCTGGCAGGTTTGACTGCCCCGAGGAGAGCTTCATTTGTACAAGCAGGAGTAAATTTATCATCTCTGGATTTTGTGCTCGGCGGGGATAAACTTGTCATCGACGGGGAGGAGGGTTGCCGGTTAATGAGCACAGCCGTGTCCGTGGAGCTCGGAAAAGTGACAGGAGAGTGGGTGTCAGCCACTAGCGGGAGCCTATTAATTCTCCGGAGGGCCCAGTTGGTTCTAGTTAAGCTTCTCCGACAGAGTCTTGATTCTTTTAGCAGATTTATGAGGCTTGGCCAAGTTCCACGACTCTCGCCGTACTTGTTAATTAAGACAAAGGAGTCCATACGCTCAGTGTCTGCCACAGCCTCACTTTTCGTCACCGTGGGGAACGCTACACAAATGAGACTGTTCGCATTCACCACTGGAAAGAGAATCTTAGGTCACAGATTCCTTGACCTTGAGTGGAAGACAGACTTCTTTTTTCTTTTTTCTTGGAAACAGTGCTTCTCTTTCCTTCTGAAGGAGCGAGAAGCACAGGTGGGGTGTGACCTGCATTGCGGCTGGACGCGCAGGGGAGCCCGAGTGTGGGAAACCCGGCCAGCGGCCGGCGCGTGTTTAGTAAGACTTGGTCTCTGAGGCAGAAAACAGGACATACCAACAAATCACAGAGGTGCATGTGTGCTTTTCCCCTCCGACTAAAACTCGTGTTCTCGCCTAGACACTGGGCTTGGACGGACCCGCAGGCACACGCATTTCCGTGATGTCACTGTTTTCTGCGGCCTCAGGAAACCATTTGTGCCAGGAATTCCGTTTCTTTACCTAAACACCGTGCCAGGTGTCCTCTGACACTAGAAGCGAGTGGAAAAAACAGGGTGTCACTCAGGGATTTTCAGCTCATTTGCCTAAGGTGATATTTCTGGTCTGTATTTTTGTTTCTTGCTTTCATGATGTCAAATCTTATATAAAGACGTGCTGACACCAAATCTATTGGGTTTGTCTGGAAGACCTGGCATAATACACCCACTCTGAATCTCGGTATTTTGACGTTATCCACACTTAGCTCTGGTTCCCCACCCTGAGGCCCATTCCCCAAGGATCTTTAAGGCCAGGCACAGCATGTATTTCAGTAGCCTTGGAGCAGCAGTTGAGCCCCAGACACCTCTTTCCCCCCATCACTTTTCAAGGTGACAGGGACATAGAGCCTTTGGCCCTTTCTTCCTGTCCTGTCCAGCCTTGTCTCCTGTCATTTTCCCGTCTGTACTGTGCTGTGTGTGCTGAGCACACTCCCGTGTGAACCTGCATAGAGGGCCCATGGGCATCTCAGGGGCCTGGTGTCAGGGGACCAGCCCTCGAACCCTAGGTCTATCCGTCTGGGATGTGCTTGTCTGCAGTGACATTCAGTGTTCATGTCCCCCGTGTTGGTTTCTCTAGAGTGTGAGACTGTGGCAACCGAGGATGGTGTCTGTGGGCGTTTTCTCAATATTTGCAGATATTTGAACAGGTTTCATCAAAGCAGTTTCACTGAACAAAGACTTGTGCTCGGTTCAAATATACTGAAACTATTTGTGATTTTTTTCAGGAGATTGAGGTTTTAATGTCACATATTGGAGCGCGCCATGTGGGTGTGAGAGGGGTGTGCAGGATTTCTGTAGCTGTTATGTGAGAGAACTTGCTCAGGGTGACAGTACATCACTGTGTCGCGTGTATGTTTACTGGGTAAGCTACTCACGTTGCAGATTACCTGCAGGCACACTTAAATATTTAACTCCACCCCATTGGGTGAAAAGTGGTTGCAGGCAAAAAATGCTGATCTGGATCAAATATGATGTTTTTAAAAATAGTATTTTGTGTGCATGCTGTTGGGCCCCTCCATTGTCAGATGCGATGGAGACCTGCGGGGGGTGCGCTTTATGCCGGCTGCAGACAAATTGCAGAGGTGAACACGAAGCTGTGCCTCCTGTTGAGTGGAGGTCAGATACCCCTGGAAAACTGGACTCACAGTCTGAGACCTTGGAGATGGCAGAGGCAGGAGCCTTCACCTGCTGACCAGGAAGAGCAGGGAGGGAGAGAAGTGGCTCCGCACCATTGCACTCGAGTTAGGTCCCTGGTCCTGGAACCAGGACCAGAAGGCGTCTGGACCCTCAGGCTGGGCTTCTTCCTGGAGCCTCCACCCACTCCCTGCCACACCAGAGCCACAGGGGTGGTAAGACTGTGATGAAAGCACAGATGTACTGCTGTGGTAGGCTCGTGGAGTCACTCTTGGCTTGCTGTCAAGCACACCCGTTTGCGGAGATGCCATGGACAAGAGGGAGCTCGCTTCTCCATGACTCAGTTTACCCATCTCCCAAGTAGAGGCCAAGACTCTAACCAACTTCGAATTCTCCCACCCACAGCCCTGCCAAGGGGCTAGGGCAGAGGTGCTGAGGGACGTGACAGCTGTCACCAGGGTTCGCCTTTCAGTGAGATTTTCCCACTATTTGAACCGTACAAAAGATTCAGACTTTATAAATTACTTCTTTGACCCTGTTTACTTTTCATCTACACATGTCCTTATTTCTTCACTCATTCATAGTTCTACTGGCAGTGAATCTCTTCAGTCCCTCACTGTCACACCCTGCAGAGTGCACCTCTTTGTTGTGACCGCATCTCAGCAGGTCCCAGCCCCCCC